TACTGTTTTGTTTCTCTTAACTTGCACGTCATATTTTTCTCCCACAGGCAATCAATAAAATAAAATAAATACCTTGGGAAAAAAACCCAGCTTTTTGGAAGCAAAGTATGTGAGGTTTATTTCCTAATACTGTTTACTCCCTTTTACCAGTAGTTGTCACTAATTAATAGTGCTTGAGTATCATGTACAGTCCCAAAGAAAAAGAAATTTTACATTACAGAAGCCTTTTTCCTTCAGATCCCTACCTCCCATGTTTATTGCTCCACGAGGACCCATATCACCCATTCTCAATTCCTGTTCTCTCTGAAAGTAAACATAGTTTTCATGGTCAACCTATCATTCTTAGAATTTAAAACATTCCCATTTACTCCATGAAAATAAAAATTTTGAAGTTTCAAAGTCTCTATTGATTAAAAAATTTACAAGGAATAAGGTTAACCATACTCCCATTTTTATAAAATCAAAAATGAATAATCAAGTTCAATATAGCATGCTGTACATTGTTGCATAATGCTAAAGGTTAAAATATATAACAAGTTTCATTTATCAGATGCAGCAGTATAATCTCCCAAATAGTTATCTGACCAACTGCAAATGAATCCATCTTCACGCAGCATTCTTCATTAAGAAGTATATTTACATTTTAACTGTAAATAAAGAAGTCTTATTACGGTATTGCCTAAAGGCTATGGTTCAATAATACAGTCTTGTATTATCCTTTTGATGGCTCCTTGACTCAAAATCCTTGTGTTGATTGGAAACCAAGTTCTGATGTGTTATATTATGATATATAAACTCAATTTGCCGGTTCATCTTTGCTCAAATAGTTTTGACTTGACTTGGTTGTGGTACATTTTTTGATAAATCATGCTATTGATAGGTTAGTTCAGATACTGACCATCCTTTTGAAACCACTATAAATATGTAGTATCAATATAAACTATATACATGCATTTATACTAAATAGACAAATAACACACCAAACTGGTCCAGATTCAACTGATGCTCAGTCATGCAAAAGCAAGAGTTCCAACATTACTGATCATGAACCACGGCCTGCTGTGGAACAATACTCAAAAGATAGTGCCCAGAGCGGCAAAAATCATCACTTAGGGGAAAACAAAGTACACCTATCACATATGATTCCACAGGATTTTAGTATTACTGTTTACATCAAAAGGATAAAATAGGAACAAATGCACAGTTCAGAAAGAAAACTAATGAAACCTATACCAAAATTTTTTTCTCATGAATTTTCTGCAAGAATGTTAACATATATTCCACTCGAGTGAACACACGCGTGCTGAGAATAAGCATATGCAAAAAAATTTACCTGATTCTGAAAAGCATTCTACTTTTCAAAGCGTATCTGAACTTTTATAACAACTCCATATACTAGGCAACTGAATCAGTCTTGCTAAAAGAAACCTTTAAATGGAAATATTAATCACATCAAATTACATTAAAAGTACTTTTACAATTTCACAAAACTCCTTTTTGTTCAATCATGCTTAGGATGCCAAACACAAGTCTTCTATCTTCACACATGTAAAGCAGCAGACACCAATATCTGACAGAACAGAGTCAATAGTTTTGTAAAAATATCCTGGTATGGGAAATTGTCATTTGTCATGACAAAAGGCTTTCAGGTCAATAACTGTTTCTAGTAACTCATATTAACCTAGAAAATGTACTAAACATAAGAAGATTATACACTATTTGCAAAGGAATATGGCTTAGTGTGGAGAGGAAAAGTAGGGCCTCATAACTAAAAGACACAGGCAGGTTTTAAGGTCCCACCTATGAAAGGCCATTGATGAAAACTAAGAAGGACCTCTTCTTTTGACCCCAGAACCCACGTTAAAACTTCGTAACAGAACACGCCGCTACTTTGTCAGACCTTTCACAGTAATGTCAACTGACATTAAGTAAAATCAGCAGCCCTATTACGATCAATCATACCCACAAATTTATACCAATGAGTTAGTCACAAAATCAGCATACAACCTTGTTGGTATTAGTCTGCTTTTACACCTCAGCCCTGACATGAAACAGCACAAGAAAAAGTGGTATATCATCCCTAATGTCAATCCCTAGTGCAACGTGGTAGAAAAACATCGTGGCTATCAGTTTACAGACTGAGCGTGCACGCATGCATGCGTATGTGCATGTGTGAAAACAGGACATGCCACAGACAGCTGTGAGTTACTCTCTGGCTACAAGAGAAAGTACTAGGTTTTGAATTACTGCACATAACTTACTAGAGGCATCTCAAGTTCAAGTGCAAGTTGGTGTTCAGCGGTGTGGTTTTTTTAACATAAAACGTGCCATATAAGGCCAGGCCGAGTACAATACCAGCTAGATGAGGATGTCAAGTACAGAGCTATTAAACTGTACTACTTACTAGTACTTAAATCATTTTCTTTGCAAAGGATAGAAGCATTGGCAAGCTATACCATACACTTTTTTTAAAAAGCACACTACGCTTCCTCCGAGCAATAAACACTTTTTTTCTCAGCTTGAAATGCTACCAGTCTTCAGTTAACAATAAGTAAAATGAGAGAGGGGCAGAACCTGTAATTTTAATTTTTTTTCAGTCTAATCTAACCTTTGTAACAAAATACATGAAGTAATTATTTGGCATTTTGAAACTCTAACTTTGGTGTTGAATTATTACCATATAAAATCCATTTAGCTATAGACTCAAGATCCATAAATGTGCCTTATGATTGCTGCTGCCCGTTAATCTATCAACGTGCCTATAAGAATTATTATTATTCCTACTGTTTCATGTTCACAACTTATAATGTTCTTCTGAATTTTCAGCACAGGGATGCTTTTAACACAGAATTATCAAATCTAAGATAAATCCCCTGTCAGAAAAAATACTCAATTTCGAATGTTAACTGGCATCATATATCATTAACGTAATTAAATGCTTCACATATTAACTATAAAAATATGTACTGGGATAATTTGCCAAAACCTGTATTTGCAGGAGCCCAGACGATAACAAAAATTCAGTCCTACCCCACAGAAATCATGTCCTAGACAGCTATTTACTATGTAAGCATAAACAACTTATTGCAGGTAAATTAGGTCAACTATTTCATGGGTTTTGCCCAAAATACAACAGAGAAAGGAATACCACCAGTCAGTTATGACAGAGTAGCTGAACCAGTGCTGGTTGATATTCCAGCCCACCTGAGAGCTTCGTTCTTGGATAACTCAAACCCTTTGCAGAACATAACAATGATAGCGTTTATCTTCTCAGAGCTTCTTTTCCTCACTATGCGACTGCCCATTCTTCTGTTGAATAGCAGCCTGCTTCAGCCCCTTCCCTGAAGCCACCCATAACAGGGAGTTAAAATTGAGTAGCAAGAAAGGAGGGCTAAACTTTTACTAGAGAAATGTGTAGGGAGGCGATTAAGAACCTCTGAAGTCACCCGGTACCTGGGAAAACAAATTAAACTGGAAGAGAACAAGAAAAATGGATGATATGCAATTATAGGGGAAAAGAAAGCCATAAGACAAAGAATGTGTAGTAAAGTGTAATTTAACCTTTGGGAAGATATAAAAACCAAAACACGAAGGGAAGCAAACAAAGAGTAATACCCTATTGTAAAAGGATAATTGTTTACACAACTTGAAAGCTGTCCAAATGACTTCTGTTGCAGGATTCTTGTAAAATAATGCAGAACTCACTAATACAAACAACCCTCAAGACGGTCCGATTCATCTGAATAATCTGCTTCTAGAAAAACTGCTATGATAGCAACTACAGCATTATAATTGCTGATTACTTTACATAGAAGCATTAAAAATGGTATTTCCTCACAACTCCAACTCATTTTAATGTCAACTGTAAAAAGTAGATCTACAAAAAAATTTTGAATATACCCAGTTTCCAAATTACATATATATTGTATATTTACTATAGTATGGATTCTCCCATTTTTACAAGTATTAGAAACAAGATTTCTTGAACGTTGGAGGTATATCATGCATAAGGTTCTTACACCTCAAACACCATCAATATCAGTAGTCTAAGTATACAGAGAACTGCCAAGATGATTCTTCTGGGTTTTTTTTTAAATATTAGTATATTTTTTAATTCACTGCATAAAATCATGAAACTAACTTTTTTGAAGAGACACCTAAAGAATCAATACAGGAAAATGTATCAGAAGCAATTCCCTTCTCACACTGAAATTAAAAATACAAGTAGTTACAAAACTTTTTTTTTTAAACTGTCAAACCAATACTACTTTTTTCCACTGAAACGGGCCTTGCAAATTGCAGCAGCCTGAAGAAAATTAAAAATCTTGTCTCCAAATGATGCAATATTCATGGTAACAAAACCATCAAAAAATTATGGTATGGAATATTTTAGAACAGCAAAAAGCAAGGTATCAACAGAAATGTAAGACGACAGCTCATACAGTTTTCTTCAAGTGTTTGTGGCCTGGAGATGCACCTCCCAAATAACATAGGACAATTCACTCACCTTTCAGCGAAAGAATGGTGACCAAAATAACTCTAATACACGGTATCAAAAAAATGCCATATCAAAAAAAAAAACCACTTACCCCATAAACTTAAACAGGCACATTAAAAGCAGTAACTTAATTAGTACTTTAGGTTGTGTGTGTAGAGCAAGTGTAATTCACAGCGCTGTTGATTCTCACCTGTTTTCATTAACATGGAAACTGAATTTTATTCTCTGGCAGACTTTATATTTGTCAAAATAGGTATGATATTTCTGTACCTGTTACTAGAATTCACTACTCACTTCCAGAGTGGTTTATTTCATTAAGTTCTTTCTAGGGGGAAAAAAAAAAAAAAAAATATTTCCAAAGGCCTCTCCAGGAGGCATAAGACCCTTAAACCTTACACAAAATTGTATTTTACTGAAAGATACCTATATTTTAAAGACATAAATCATACAAGTGGTTAAAATTGCTAGTTTGGCACTCAAAACCAGAATTTGGGGGATACTTTTGTATGTGCATTATCCATCTTTTCCTCGGAATATTTTACTATTTCACTCCAATGACTAGCTCACTGGAAGTTAAGCTGCCAGCAAGGAATTAAAGTAATAAAAACCTTCTCTTCCAACCACCCCTCTTGTCACCTTTCCCTCTTTGGTTTACCCATCAATTAAGATTTATACGTAAGATCCAAAAGTTACAATATCCCAAAACAGTTCATTTATTCCATCACACGCAGTAACAGTAAATAATTTTAAATGAAAAATACTGATCTTCTTTCAAAATCCAAGATTTCTGTGTGCTCCTGAGCAC